AGTTCTAGTTCATAACTTGTATAGATGGAGTAGAACTTCCCCTCACAGGGTTTCCTATGTTGAAGTCTTCATAGGAACAAATCACCAGATATTTTCTTCCTCAGAGCAGTTGCTGTTGTTGTATACCTTCAGACTGGACTTAGCTGACCCACTAATGAGTTTTCAGATGCACTTAATCGCACGGTGGCGGGAGGTAAGTGGAGGGGATTGCCTATCTTTCTCCCACAGGAAAACTGGTAGATTCGAACTGCGTGCCTTTGGAATTGCAACACAGCTTCTTAGCACCAGACTACCAGGGCTCCCGCCTTACGACAGTTGATGGCATCAAACCACCACCTTTCTAGTTATTAGCCAGTTATTTAACATTGTGTCACCAGGGCACCTAACCTATTGGAGACTTTTTAGAAAATGTTCCTAGATTAAGTAGATGCAATACATTAATGAGAAGGCAATCAAGCTTTGCTAATAAGAGGAAGCTAGGCTAATTGATGAGGTAATTATGAAGTCTGGTTACTTTTAAAGCAATGATTCATTCTTGCTATGAATCAAAACAAAAGAATGAAAATTATGATATTATATATCAGAATATATCACAAGAAAGTTTAGATCTTTTCATCAGAGGAGTATTTAGTCCAGATTTGACAGTCTTTTAAGGAAATGTTTATGGAGACTTTTTGGCCAAGAACAAAATGGAACTCAAGTCTCTTTTTTACCCTCTCTTCACACCAACCCAGAGAGAGAAAAGAAAAAAGACATTAATTAAAACTTAAATTTTAAACTAACACAAAGATAAATAAAAATTATTTGAATCAGATGTTGACTGATGACCTGTACTTTACATTATAAATACTAGAAAGATTCACAGCAAGTCGTGTATTTTCTTTTTACGGTGCAAGTCTCAATCTGACAAATATAGAGAAATTTAATCTTCTCTAATGTTCTTTCAAAAGAAATGAAAGCACAAAATTAAAAGAATTAACAACCCTTAAAGCAGAACTGTCCCAAACTCACTGTTTTAGTTTCATAGTCCTGCTTCAGCAGAAATACCACAAATGGCTGGTCTTAAAAAACAAAAATTTTTTTCCCTCACACTGCAGAAGGCTAGAAGTCCAAATTCATGGCACTGGCTGGCTATAAGGGGAACGCTCTCTTTCTATCAGCTATGGAAAGATCCTTGTCTCTAGCATTCTTCAGTTCCTTGGCAATCCTCAAGTGGCACCTATCTTTGAGTGAGACTTGGATTGCTATGTCTAATTTCTTTATAAATCAAAGTGAGCATATTTAGGACACAGCCTATATTGATATAACACATTAATTAAAAAAAAAACAACCAACTGTTTCCAAACAGGATTACATCACAGATATAGAGGTTAGGATTCTTATATATTGGGGACGGCTGGGGTGGAGGAGTTGGAAGGAAGTGGGACAACATTGAGGCCATTGCTGGATCTTGTGTGGTATCCAAGTTGTATACTTGGAATAACCAATGTGAAATTGTCCAAGTCTCCCCTTTGGCAGTGAACCTGGTTGTAGAAGGCATTTAAAATTGTTTATCTCTTACGCTGAACTCATTGATTTGTTTGTATTTCATGCCTGCCTTCCACAAGCCTATACAATTTCAATTGCACTACAGTCAGCGTGAAACAGTTTTTTTGTATAATTATATTTAAACTGAACAGTTCTCTGCAGTTATTTAAAAACATTCTCCACACAGCCCTTTAGCCTTTTGTGCCTTTCACTCTGCTCATGTCTTTAGAGAACTTCACTGCACAAGGCATCCTTGTCCAACGTCTATGGATTGCATCAAATCATGTGCTTTTACAGTCTGCTCATGGTAGCATGTAGTCAAGCTGTATCATTTCCTCTTGTAATTTTTCAGATCTTAGAGGCAATGGTGCTTTAAACCAACTACGCATGAAGTCTGTGTGTCAGCCAGTAAGTGCCCAGTTTCACTGGTAAATACCTGACTTTCAAGTCACATAGGTTGCACTTTACTGCATCCAAACCTTATTGTTTTTATTGTGTATTGCTTATTCCCTCTTAGAAATGAACTAGAACCAGTACTTTGGTAAATGTGTAATTCTTCACCTTGCCAACACTTGTAGTTATGATTTTTAAAATATAAAAATAAAATTGTAGTAGCTTTCTTTGTTAAAAACTTCATTTGCACGTGTGGTACATATATATATGAAACAAAACATTTCCACATTCTTTACATGTACTATTTAGTTTCAGAAATATATTTATCCTGGTTAGCTACCGTCATTATGTGTTTGCAGGATTTTCCATCACCCGTAACAGAAGCTCAAGGCTCACAAAATGACACTTTTTCCTCTTTCTTCTTTCCACCAGATAATCACTGATAAATTTGGTCTCTGTACACCTGCAGCAAGTGGGGAACATTTGTATAATTAGTTTATGAGATGACAGAAATATCTGATGTTTTTAAAATTTATTTTCTCTTATTTTCCATCTCATTTGATTCCAATGTTTAAGGGTTTTCATATTCATGAGAAAGATATTTTTATATATACTGTTATCTCCTGAACTTATTATCACTCATTGTATTCGATACCATTTCTATTCTCTTTATATATACATATGTAATAGGTATAAAACAATGTTAAATTACCCTGCCTTTTTTTTTTCCCCCTGCCTTGTTTTGTACAGTAAATAGTTCCTTAAAAGAATTCCTTAGCTTTTCTCACTGTAGCCTTTCAATCCCGATTTAGGTCTAAACTCTACCCTGCAGCCATTTTTATCACCATACATCTGTTTAAGCTAATGAAAGTTAACAGTTGCCTTTGTAGTAGACTTCCCATATGATTCCAGTATGTTCTGTTGCATGTGTTTGATATCTGGTCATTAAAGATGGGATTTTTTAGGGGACTTGTTTTTCATGTGTTATTAATTCCCTCCAGCAAATGAAGTGTGATAATAGTAGACACTCACTCTTAGTTGCATTGTGTCATCCTCACTCTTTTGTCCTTATTCTTAAGGTATTTCCTAAGTTTTTCCTCATGATTTTTTAATAAAATATAGCCTTGTTTTTTAGTGGTTAAGCATTAAAAGGAATTGTTGTGGTTGGTTTGTTTTTGTTTTGTTTTAAAGGAAGTAGCTTAGACTTGACTATAAGAGTCAGTCTTGTGCTGGGGGCCATGTTCCTCTCATGGCCATCCTATACAAAGGATTCAGTCCCATCCTTGTGTCACCCGAATGCCAAAGGTGGCAAAATACAAAAATATATTTTAAAAAAATGCCTGCATGATTTTCCTTTAAGTGTGTATTTTTAAATCTTCTGCAAAATAATCTCTTAGTGTGAAGGAATAATAAAATTTTAAGAAAATCATAGATACTCATGAAAATGGTCCATGTAAAAGTTTCACTCTTAAAATGTAAAATTTTTTTTTATTATTTTTGTGCACATGTACCGTCAAATCAGATCTGACTGGTACAGGAGGAGATTGTCTCTCCTTCCCTGGCAGAGCATCTGGTGGATTCGAACCGTGCACCTCTGGGATTGTAGTTGCAGCTTCTTGCCACTAGGCCACCAGAGCTCCCCTAAAATGTAAAATTTTCTATTTTAATTACTAAAGTTTTGCTGTTGCTTATAAAATCTTTTTTCTCAACTGTTATTAAAAAGGAAATGTTTTTAAATTTTACTAATTTTAACGAACATTTACAGACATTTTGGATCTCCATTCATTCATTGTTGCACTTTTTTCTCTACCCACCCTCCCAGATAAACTTCTTTGTTGGTATACAACCCCCCCAGCCCCTCCTCAATGCACTCCACTATGCAACCGTAATTCTGGATTCCTGTGATAATCATAATACCCTACCATATATTGCTTTTAAACTGTTCTCTCCCTCATCTGTTTCAATGCAATATACATAATTCATCCAGTTTTTCTCAGTCTTACCCCAATCCTGATGTCAGTCCCATTCTACAACTGTGGCACCATGCAGCATTTGTCTTTTTGTGACTGAGATATTTACTCAGCATAATGTCCTCCAGGGTCACCCATTTTGAATATGAGTTCCTTGTTTTTCAGTGCAGGGTAGTATGCCATTGTGTGACTAGACCACAGCTTCTCTATCCATTCATTTGTTGATGAGCAGTTAGGTTGTTTCCAGCTCCTTGCTATTGTGAACAAAGCCACAATACACATGGGTGTGCATATATCTGCTTGGATGTCGGTTATTGTCTCTTTGGGGTATATTCCCAGTAGTGGAATTGCTGGGTCAAATGGTATCTCTATTTGCAATTTTTGAGAAAGCACCATACTGCCTTCTACAGTGTTTGCACCATTTTACACTCCCACCAACCTCTACAACCTCGCCAGCATTTGTTGCTTGCTGTTCTTTTAAATTTTGCTATTTCTGACTGAGGTGAGATGATATCTCATAGTTGTTTTGCAAAAAGGAAATTTAAAAAGTCCATTATTGGGAGGGGTTTTGTCTATTTCTGTTTCTCCATTACACAGAACAATGAGTAGAAATTAATAGTACAAATTTAGCTTAGTAAATAAATGAATAATTTATTGTGTTATTTACCAGATGCTTAATAGACATGCTTAAGCAAAGGAGACATTACAAATGAGACGCCATATCATTGTTTGTGACACTTAAATACACTAATATTAGATTCTTTAATCCTTAGTTTTATTAGCAAAACAGGTGTATTGTTGATATGTAGTTGGGATGGTTAATTTACTTTGAGTTCAAAAGTTAGAACAGATTAGACAAGAACTTTACATCTCTACATAGAACATTTAGTAACAAGACGGCTAAATTAAATTAATTCAAATGAACTATTGGTCCCAAATTTTTTTTTTTATTTAAAAATCTTTAAATATTTTTCCTAAATAAATTTCATATGTAAACACTAAAACACCCAAAAGCAACATAAATGGTCTTGAGCCTGCGTCACGTTCATTTGAATGTTCTGGAACACAGCGAACAAGAAATCGGCCAGGGGGCGGAGCACGAGCAGTAAGATGGCGACGCCTGAGAAGAAGCTGTTTCCTCAGAGGCAGGGCCACCGGCAGTACCGGTCCGCCCTGAAGAAGGAGAAAAGGAGGAAACGCCGGCAGGAGCTCGCTCGGTTGAGGGACTCAGAACTCCCACAGGAGGAGGAGGAAGCCATTATCGACGAATACCAACTAGAAGAGGAGAAGCTGTTGGAGACAGAGAGGAAGAAGCTGCATGAGGAGTGGTTGCAGAGGGACCGAAAGGCACAAGAAGAATTCCGACTTAAGAAAGAAAAGGAGGAGGCAGCCAGAAAACGGCAGGAAGAGCTAGAGAGGAGGTTAAAGGAAGAATGGGAAGAACAGCAGAGGAAAGAAAAAGAGCGGAAACTGCAGGAGGAGAAAGAGGAAGCTGTGCAGAAGACGTTGAGCCGAACTGGAAACGAGTTGGGAAACGGCTCATGGCAAAACCCAGAGCCACCCTTGGACTTAAGAATAATGGAGAGAGACCCCACGTATTGTCCATTCTACAGTAAAACCGGAGCGTGCCGATTTGGAGACAGGTGTTCACGGAGGCATAATTTCCCGACCTCGAGCCCCACTCTTCTTATAAAGAGCATGTTCAGCACGTTTGGAATGGAGCAGTGCCGAATGGGGGACTACGACCCTGATGCTGGCCTGGAGTACAGCGAGGAGGAGACCTACCAGCAGTTCCTGGACTTCTATGACGACGTGCTCCCCGAATTCCAGAAAGTGGGTCGAGTGGTGCAGTTCAAGGTCAGCTGCAACGCTGACCCTCATCTTCGGGGCAACGTGTACGTCCAGTATGAGTCCGAAAAAGACAGCCGCGCAGCCCTGGCCCTGTTCAATGGGCGCTGGTACGCGGGCCGGCAGCTTCGGTGTGAGTTCTGCCCCGTGACCCGCTGGCACGTGGCGATTTGTGGTCGTTTTGAAAGCCAGCAGTGCTCGAGAGGAGCACACTGCAACTTTCTTCACGTGTTCAGAAACCCCAAGAATGAGTTTTGGGAAGCTGACAGAGACCTGCATCTGCCGTCAGATCGGCCTGGCTCATTTCTGGACAGGAGAGAGAGAACGAGCCACCATGGTGATTACTATGGCAGGCCGAGGAGACGAAGGCCTAGTTCAGACCACTCCCGCAGAAGAAATGGGGGATCTGAGAGGAGGAGAAGCCGTTACCGCCCAGAAAGGCGGCCTCACAAGGATGTGGCCGGCAGTCGGGAAAGGCAGAGCTCCAGAAGCAGAGGAAGAAAAAGGGACCGTAGTCCGGGCCCCCGGAGCAGAAGACCCCGAGGCCGGCGCAGCCACAGCCCCCGGAGCCCTGGGAGGCGGCGAGGCCAAAGCCGCGGACGCAGATCCAGATCCTCCAGGTCCAGGAGCCTTGGCATGAGGAGGTCGGACAGTCCAGACTGAAGTAGCTAGTCCCAAAGCCAAATAAAGTTGTTTTCTTTCAGAGCGAATGTATACCGGTTTGTTGTGGCCGTTACATAAATTGGTTGGAAGGAGGTGAGTGCAGGTGCATTAGCAAGTCCGGCAGAACTTTGTGTATGTACACGGGAATCCTATTTTTAAAATGTGGAGGGGTTTTTTTTTCGTTCTGATAATAAAAAATTGTGTTTAGTATAGAAAACAAAAACATAAAATGTACCTGTAATCCGAACCGTTAGAGATAGCCAGGTAACTTTGGAACATTTTTCAGTCTTTTTTTATTATTACCTTTTGGGATTGCTTGTGTATTTTACACAAAGTTATGATTGCCATTGAATATGCTAACTTTCTTCTGAAACATTGTTCTAATTCAGGCAGTCCTTATTCTTATGTCATTTTTACTGAGGGCTTGTAATCAATTTAACCATATTCCTGGTGTTGAATTTTAAAATTAATTTTAGACTCTTAAAGAAGTCTCTGCTGAAAAGAAAAGATAAAAAAAAATTAAGAATTATGCCATTTGGAAATGTACATTTGGGTGTTATTAATTGCATTCACTGTTCTGTGCTATACATTTTTCAAATGTTTTACATTACCCCAAACAGAGCTTAGTGTAAATCCCTTAAACACTAACATCAATTCCTTCACCCCTGTGGCCCCTAGTAACCACTAGTAAACTTTTGTGTCCATGTATTTGTCCAGTTAGAAATTTCATCTAAGTGGGATCTTAAAAATCCTGGTTTCACTATGTCGTTTATTTTACTCAATATAATGTCAGAGTTCTTCCTGTGGCTTATCCGAGTTCCACCGCTTCTCTTTCTGGCTGAATAGTATTTCTGCATATGTATACACCACTGTGCATACATATTCATTAGTTAAAAGACACTTGGGTTTTCCCCTACCTTTCCTGGCAGTGACCATTGGTGTACACATACTTGTTTGAATCTCTGGATCCTAGTTATGTACTTAAGTGTTAAATTGCAGAGTCACATGGTAATTCTGTGTTTATCCCTCAGCATCTTCTCAGTGCATATTAACCATTTTGTGTGTGTACTAAGGAGAAAAGCCTATTAAGACTTTTTGCTCATTTTTAAAATTGGGTTTATCTTTATGTTGTTGAATTGTAGGTGTTCTTGATACTATATGAATATTAACATTATCAGATATTTGATTCCCAAATATTTTCTCCCAGTCTGTAGTTGCCTCTTTTTTGGAAGAAATCCTTGGATGTACAAATTTTTCATTTTAATGAAGTGTAATTTATCTATGGGTTTTCTTTTGTTAGTTTTGCATTAGGTGTCATAATCTAAGAATCCTTTGTCAAAAGAGGTGCTCAAGGTCTTAGTCCTGTTTTTTCTTCTAAGAGTTTTATAAATTCTTATGTTTAAGCCATTGACTTACCTTTTAGTTAATACATGGTAAGCGGTTTTTTTAAGTAAAATTTTTATTTTATATTGGTTTATAATGAGGCTTTTTGATGTAGTATCCAGAACCTTTGCCATTGCATTTTTTCAAATTAGTTATTTTTTCAAGTGTGTTGATTAGAAAATAGAGTAATTTAACTGTAATAAATAAAGAATAGAGAATTTTACTGTAATAGCTATGTGGTCACTTGAGTTTTATGTTTGGTTAGGGACCACCCAGTTAGCTCTGACTTAGAGCAACCCAGTATGCAATAGATCTGATCCCTCCTGCATCATCTTCACAGTCTCTCCTGTGCTTATGCCAGTTGTTGCACACACCCTGTCATTTCATCGCATTAAGGAGCCTTCTCTCTTGACCTACTATACCAAGCATCATATTGCTCTCCAGGGTTAGGCACCTTTTGATAAAATACTCAAAATACGTAATATGAGGTCTCACCATCTTTGCTTCTGAGGAGCATTCTGGCTTCTCCTCTGCCAAGCCAGATGTGTTTGCACCACAATTCAAAGATAACAGTTCTTCATTTTCCTTTACTGGCTCTGACTCAATCCAGGCACACCTTAGTTTCTAAAGTGACATCCTTGCTCTTTAGTACTTTAGTGAGGTCCTTGACAACAGATTTGCCCATTGTTCTTGATTGCTGCTTTCATGTATATTGTTTGTGGGTCCAAATAGAATGAAATCCTTGACAACTTAAATCTTTGTCAGTTATCATTATGTTTATTGGTTTTGGCTTGAGAATTTTTATTTTCTTTATGTTAAGTTATAATTCATACTCTGCTTCACCATTAAGTGCTACCATTGGGGTATTGAGAGTGCATATGTTTAAATTGGGACAGGCTCAGTTTAGCAGTAGGCCTTTTCCATACCTGGCTGATTCATTCAGAAGCTTTGTTTACCTTACTCTTTAAAAAGTGTTCCTGCCTTCATGCTCTGTATAATAGGGAGGGGAATTTGGTATTTGGACACAATCTCAAATCTTTTACACAATCTTTTCATTGCCTTGGTTAAGTACTTTTCATCAGTTCACCTTTATTTCCTTGGTTGTAAATGGAAATTGTTTTGTAGGAGGGTTCTGAAGGTTAACTGAATTGGTTATAGTACAGTCACACCTCTTTTCTTGCACCTTGCTTCATTGCACTCTGTAGATACTGTTGTTTTTATAAACTAAATTTTAGGGTAACCTGGGCTTGTCAATTGGCACCATTTTTCCAACTCCATGTGCTCACATATCTGTCACATTTTGGTAGTTCTCACAATATTTCAAAATTTTCTTAATGCTATTGCACATTGAGTAGACTACCAAAACCCACTGCCATCAAGTTGATTCTCGACTAATAGCACCTCTGTCGGGCAGAGTAGAACTGTTTCTTAACAGTCCCAAGGCTGGAAATCTTAACAGAAGCTGATAGACTCTCAAATCACCAACCTTTTGGTTAGCAGCTCATTATTTAACCCAAGACTGATTTAAATCCACCTGCTGCTCCATGGGAGAAAGATGAGCAATGGGCATTCTCCCCCCAGGTGATGGATGACCTCTAAAAATCTGCTTGAGGGTCAGGTATGAGTTGATTTTGACTCACTTGTTCATAACAACAATGTGGTATAAATACAACTTTTGTATGCACTGGGAAGCCAGTGCAACATTCCTTTTACTTGGTGGTCAGGAATCAAATCCCCAGTTTATCCTCGAGATGTGTACTTAGATTCGGAAGACATGCTTTTTGCCTTTCTTCATTTGTTTATATAGTGTTTATAACACACTGAACAGATTCCACCTTCTCCTCACTCTTCTCTTTGCTCTTTTTTTTTCTCTTCTCATCACATACCATTTATCTCCTACAGAAACCCTGGCTTTGAGTGTAGACAGTGGTTCCCAGATTTTTGTATCTCATGAGCCAGTAACTTTTTATGAAGAAAAACTTCATCAGTGTACCACATTAACGGTTTGATTTTGCTGGTATAAAATCTTCTTAACATTATTTCACAAAAGAAAGGATGTTTTAATAACAGTAAGTAGCAAATAGTTTTTTTGGGGGGGGGTTGGTCTTAACAGTGCTGTATCTCTTAATTAAAGATCGGAAACAATCCAAGAACAGATTTTTAGGAACCAGTTTTTCCTAATGCCTTGTCACGAAGAGAGAGAACTTCCTTCTTTGTGAGAACAGTGGGCTCCCTTTGGAGTGGCCCCTTAAAGCAGTGTGGAGATTGGTTTCAATAGCCCTGTTCATTCTTCACCAGGGCTGGGAAGGGGCATCACCTCCCCC